TGGGCCTGCGGAGGCAGGAGAAGCGCCTTCGGTTTGCCTCTCCCTTAGCCCGTCGCCTGCTCTCCAGCCCATGTTGTAACTTGCTCCTGGTGAAGCTGGGGTCGTACCCTCCGTCTCGGCGTCTGTAGTCGAGTGGCTGCACGTGTGGCTTTTAGAATGTGGGGTATTGATGCCTTCACGGTAGTGAGGTTTTAAAAGGAGAACTATGGGAAGGGATCTCAGATGAGGAAGCCCATAGTACCGTTCTTGCTGTGTTTACGGTATTTCTGGGTGACCTTCAGCAAGCCACATCACCACTGGGCCCCGTTTCTCGAGCCGTAATGTGGAACTAAAAGTGGCTTCTGTCTAAAGAGGTCTGAGAGGAAGGGCGCAGTATAAAATCTAGGGGTGTTGTAGCTGAAACACTCACTTGAGATTTGAGCATAACTATAACACCTTTAATGATGTTGCATGCTGGCAGTGAATTCCCTTGCTTGTAAACCACTGTAAAGAGCATAGGATAGTACTTATTTAATAACATATTTTTTCATAGGTTGGAGCAGCTCTGCCTGTTGATGTCCTAACATATGAGGAAAAAACTCTGTCTGCCATATTAAGAGTTATTAGCAGGTAAGGTACAGCAGGTACACACTTTAGGTACTGCCATGAAAATACTTTTTGTAAGAAAACAGAACTCTTAAGCTAAGAATGGTCTTTGAAGAATTAAGCCTAACTTGCAGACATCCGCATACAGCATGCAGAAAAGAAATGAAAATTCACTAAGATTTGGTAACCTACATGCACCAGTACATTATTCCTGCTTTAAAGCAGAATGGAACTAAGCACCATTGAAATATGTGGCTTTAAATCTCTACAGTAAAGATAAGAAGGGTTGCTAGATTTGAATGGTGAAGACAACTGCAGGTGATTTAGGGGAAGAAACAGCTTAAATACACAGAGAGAACAAGAGCGGGGCTGGTAAAGTGAACTTGAGAAGGTTACAGTACATGTCTCTATGTCAAGGACAAGAAACTGCAGTCATTGCGCTAACCGTTCAGGGCATAGTGTTGCTACTAGAATTCACTGACACAATTGCCTGCTGTTAAACTCAGTTAAGGTTTTGCCACTCTTTATGTCATGTTTTTTTATTTAAGATGTTTATGCTGCAGGAAAACTGAGAAAAATTTTATTAAAGTATTTAATTTTCTTTTTTACTTAGTGGCCTCGTCAAGCTGTGGAGTGCTCTAACGTTGCTGGGCTTCTACCAGAACAGGAGGTGTGCCTTTCGAGTGCTGCAGGTAAAGCCCTGCGGGGGCTGGATGGCTTCCTCCAAACATCAGTTCTCGTGCTATGGTTGCTGGGCTATCTGAGCACACTGCCTCTTCACAGAAAGATGGCCTAGATGCAAAAAGGTCTGGGTTTGGGAGTGAAATGCTTTTCAATGCAGGTGTGTAGGCCTGTGTTGAAGCAATTCTCATAATTAATCTTGTAAAATGTGCCAGTAGTGGCTGTCTTGTTACTTCATGGTTTCATTCCAATGAGAAGTCCTGATCTCATTAATGCACCTGCAAGAAAATAATTTCTGGAAAGTTTTGTTCTTGGTCCAATCTTTTATTTCCCCTGCCCCATTTCTTCCCTTTCTAATGGTCACTGTCAACTGACCTCGTTTAAAAATGCATGCATGAACATGCACTTCCAGAGCTTATTTTTTTCCGGAGGATGCTGCTTAATAAAATGAGTTACAAGAACTCTTTGTCTCTGAAGCCATGGCTAAACGAAAATCTGCTTGGGCATAGCTCAAAGTTTTTAATCTTTTATATAAAAGGGAAATCTGAGGATTTTCAACTTTGAGTGCATTTGATGGTGATTTCTTTCTTGTTAATGCTTTAGTTTGTTTCTTGCTTTGTTTTTTGTTTTTTCTTCCCCCCAAACTAGACATCTCCATTTCTTCTTGCATTATCTGGCAACAGTAGAGAACTGGTCTTGGACTGAATGCAGTTGTTGGGTTGGTTGTACAAAGCAGAAGTTGCTTGAGATGTTGCAGCCCTTCAGGCATGGAATTTCTGGAGGCAATTTCCGACAAAGAGCCTTGACCAAGCCAACAGTTATCAGCTCCCTGCTTGGACGTCCCTTCCTTCAGAGCTTACACATAAAAGTTGGAGACAAAGCTGAACTTACCAAAGCTTTTACACAGAATGATGTTGTTACTTTTTCTGATTTAACAGGTGACACAAATCCTTTGCATTTAAACGAAGATTTTGCAGAGCAGTCTAGGTTTGGGAGAACGATTGTACATGGAGTTTTGATCAATGGACTAATTTCTGCAGTTCTTGGTACCAAAATGCCCGGTCAAGGTTGTGTATTTCTCTCTCAGGAGATCAGATTTCCAGCTCCTTTGTATACTGGTGAAGAAGTCATAGCTGCAGCGGAAGTTAAACGACTGAAGGGTTCTATTGCGCACATTTCTGTATCATGTAAAGTCAGAGAAAGTGGGAAGACTGTTATGGAAGGGATGGTGAAAGTCATGGTGTCAGACAGTTGATCCTATGCTACTTTAATATAAAGGCCAGAAACGTACGCTTGGTTTTGACTCTTTTTATGTGACATCACTTAATCCAGTAAATTTACAACAAAAGAAACCCTCAGTGTTTCAGAGACACTGCACAAACTTCAGCTTGATAGAACTGCATTAAACTTAGAGCTTTTCATTTTTTCCCTGCATACTGCCAAGATGAAACCAACAGAACTAGGCACTCTGGGACAGAAGTGGCATGTTCAGACGAGCCTTTGCTCTGCTACAGGGGGAAGTCTGCAGTGGTGGGGACTATATCGAGGCTGTTCTTCTCAGCAAAATCACGGTCCACAGTAGCTATGTTCAGTTCCAACTTGTTCGCTCTTTACAGAGTCGTTCTGTTGCTAACAAGCACTGGTGGGAAGGGACGATGCCGTGTGTTTAACAAGCGGAACCGAAGTGGAGGTGTTGACACGCGTATACAGCAAAGTCTGTTGTAATCTCCACGGCAGCTCTAGCTGATGTTGGCGCAGTGTGCTCCTTTGCAATGTTTTAACTATAAAGCCTTACTTAGCTCTGCAAATAAGTAGCGGTCAGCCTTCGCATGAACAATATATTCTGCCTGATACAGCTGGAGAGGTGTTGCTCGTAATACTTTCAAATTCTTGAGATGCCTTACAAAACCTGATTATAAACACAAAAATTCACTTTTAATGATAAATACCTCTGAAACTTGCCTCCCAGCAGCAGAGTGAAGGAGGCTTTTAAAAAGCTGTGTTGTCAATGCTTGTACTTACTGCCTCCTCATGCTCCTGTGCGCCAGACGAGCAGGGGCAGTTTTGTTGAACACTAGCTATGTGGCTTCTCTCGGCTTATTTGACTGTGTGATCGTGTATTCCCCTTTGCCTACGGGTACCTTGGGTGTTGGTAAAGTAGGCTTTTGGTAAATTCATTAGTAAATAAGCCAGTTTAAATGATTTTAGTACTGACATAAGATTATTACATACCAAGAAACTTCTCTTGGGAATGATGGGGACCACCAGCAGTAAAGTACGGGCTGTCTTCAGCTGGTGGCTCTTGTAACTTTCTGGCAAAATATCTGTATCCCCCCCCCCATCTCCTCTGCAGCAGAAATGCGTTTGTAACTTTCTTTGACTGCAAATAACCTCAGAAGTTGTTTGCTATGAAAAGAGAGTTTGTCCTGCAACTGGTAAGACAGTTACGCTGTCCGGGTGTGATGTCTTGTTGGTAACTGCACTGTAAGGACAGACCCCAGGTGTTAAGTGGATCAGAGGGGTGATGTTTAAGTGTTACGGTTTGACTTCGATACGCCCTCTATTTTCAAAGCACAGGGTCTGGCCTGTTCACAGTGTGGAACAAGTACCTAGTGAGAGCTTTCCACTCTTGTCTGTAGGAGTTGCTTCACTTCTCTCTTCCTTTTCTTCTGCCTGATCGTTGGCTTTTGCCCGCCAAAACGCCGTTTCTCAAAGCAGGCATGCTCCTTCCCTCATTGCTGTTCCCCAGCCTCTCTGGGTGGGATGTTGTCATGTTGATGCCTATTAACAAAACGCATCAAATGCAAGGATGAGATGGTAGGTGAGGGATTAGGGCAATACCTAAATCTGTATCTGACCTCCTGGGTGGCTGCGGAAGGAGCAGTTTGGAAAGATTGCTGTTCCAGCCTGAGACTTAGCTGCTTAGCCACAACACGTAGCCCGTTCCCCTGTCGACACGGAGCCGCAAGACGGAGGGACGAGGCTGTTGATGGTAACTGTTTGAAGTGTACGACGGACTCAAGCTCCACTGTCTGGTTTACAACGTCCTAAGTGAGATTAATTCCTGTATGTGGTGTAAAAAGACAAAAGGGAACGCAGGCAAGCATTGGACGGGCAGCGGGCTCCCAGGCGCTAAGGAGCACTGAGATGAGGCGTGTCCTACGCTGCCACGGTCAATGTTAGATTGTGGAACTCCCATTTAACAACAAACGTGCGTTTTGCAAATAAAAAAACCCCAAAGCCTAAAATCTACAAATCGAGTAGAAGATACCGGATGCCTTTTGATTTTTTTTTTTTTTTTAATAATCGGACGGGCAGCGGGCTCCCAGGCGCTAAGGAGCACTGAGATGAGGCGTGTCCTACGCTGCCACGGTCAATGTTAGATTGTGGAACTCCCATTTAACAACAAACGTGCGTTTTGCAAATAAAAAAACCCCAAAGCCTAAAATCTACAAATCGAGTAGAAGATACCGGATGCCTTTTGATTTTTTTTTTTTTTTTAATAATCTTTTAAGTACAAAAACCCCCCGAAAGGCAAAGAGCAGCAAGCGCGCTCGCCTCTGAAGCCTCCGCGAGGACGCGCGGTGTCTCGGGGCTGACC